AAAGCCTTTGAATCTTTGATAAGACTTTGAGCCTTTTACCTTTCCCTTGTATATTGCTTTATTAATCATATTTGCTTAATTTTAAGAATGTTCTTTGTATGTGCTTATAATACATTAACCCTCCTGTTGTCTTCGGGTCAAATCTGACCGATTTACTACTTTCATCAATCATAACTTTTCTGTTTTACATTCGATTGCATTAAGGCATTATGATATCCTTCACAGTAGACATTTGAACATATAAAATTGCTGTTCACCGCTTTCATTGAATTTTGGATGATTTAGTCAACTTTGTAACACCCATGGTGTTCCCCGGTCCCATAAAGAAAAGGAATTAATAAGTAACCATCCGGATCAGATAAAACACACACAAACACACTCACACCCACACACACACACACACACACACATACACACACACACACACACACACACACACACACACACACACACACACACACACACACACAACAATTTGACACATTTCCCGCTCTTATGTGCCCATCCCCCCACATGGCACATGCAATACACGTTCAGTGTCTATTCTTTGTATATTTACTGCAGTTTTTCATGTATACCAGTAGTCTGATACAATATGTACCGTTTGAAATGGTGTTAAATGAAATTTGGTGATGATGAATGGTTTTTGTGTTAATGTAATAGCAGTTAAAACAGGACCGGTCAAATTTGACCGCGAACACCAAAGTAAGGGGGGAAAACGAAGACAATAGGAGGGTTAAATCAAGTCTTCAAGAGGAGATCCCTGTGCAGGCTGCAGAATTTTGACAGAAGAGGAAGAAGGGGGAAAACGATGTTGCCATGTCAACGCCTTTTGTTTACATGTAGCTCGGCTAGCTTACAGGCTAACAAGCTAATGGGCTAACCCTTGTCTTTAGCGTTATTTCTCCCATTTGTTAGCCAGTACTGTATTTCACGATGTTGAGTAAACTCCTTTTAATCAGCAGTGTTGTTGTGGAGTGCGGTTAGCATGTGTTAGTTTAGCATGAGCCAGATACCGGATCGTTTGGAGACTGTAAGCTAAGCTACAGGTCAGACGGGTCAGACGGTGTTTCCACGGATGAGATGTCCAAAGATCAGGTGAGAGCTGCGGTGCTAACACAGCTAACAGAGCTAACTAGCTTAAGCCTCAAAATGATCACACTGTGTTCAGGTGGTTTGAGGGTTCACTAACTGTATAGTTTCTGAGGTCCAGAGACACTTTTAGTTGTAATTGTTCTTTACCAGAGGTGGAAAATTCCTTAATTTAGTAAAAGTAGTAAAACCACACTGTAAAATACTCAATTTCAGGTAAAAAAATACTGCATCATGAATGGCACTTAAGTAAAAGTAATACAGTATAATTAGGAACATTTTCTGTAAGTATTAGGAGTAAGAGAAAACTAAAACATGTTTTGAATATTTTTAAATATTTTAAAGCAAAAGCAGCAACTCTTCACTCTTAGTGCTGGAACTGTGAAATATTATTGAACAAAAAACTTCTTTCCACCTCTGTTATTCACTCTAGTACATTGTGTATACAATATATCAAAGGGGTATTCATGTTTTTATAGCTTTTGTGGTACATGTTGACCCCAGTGTTGGAAGAAATACTCAAGTAAAAGTCCTGCATTCAAAACCTTACTTAAGTAAAAGTATGTAAGTAGTAGTACTATCAGCAAAATATGGTAGTAAGTATGAAAATTAAAGTTAGAAACTGTGCGGTAAAATGACCTCTTGTCTTAAATAGTTTGTTGGATACCGAATATATAGCACATAACTGGGAAGAGATGGGGAGCAAACAATGTTGGCACAGTTGTTTCAGCAGAGTTATTAAGAGTATCAGGTAATAGTGGCTGCACCGTACATATACATGAACATGATCTCACTGCATACAGCGCCACTCCATGGTGAAGAATGATAGACTTTGAATTATATGTTGGATTATATATTGACACATTTTTGAGAGGATTAAAGAAAACAAAACCAAAGGTTACATTTATTTTTGGTACTTTGCACTAGGGAGGCACCAGTCTGATAGATAGCATTGGTATCGGTCCGACACTGGCCAAAATCACTGGCCTTTGTCATTTAGGTATATGCTACATTGAGTTATATGTAATATTTTACAATGGAATTATAATTTCTTGGTTATTCTAAATACTTTTTCCTTTAACCCATAGAATACACTGCTTCCCACCAGGAGTGCATATATTAATATTCTATATAATTTACAGAAAGTGCAGTAAGTACTACAGCATAATTGATCCTCTGTAGAGGATCTCGAAGGTGGCCGGCACCGACCCGTCCTCGCTGCCGTACATCTCTGAAACACATTCAAACACACACACATAAACACATGCTATAAGGAAGCAAAAACATTGGTGTTTTATTTTACTTTTGATGAAGCTAAGCTAGCAGTTTGCTTCTGCTTCAAGGCTTTGTGCTAAGCTACAGAAGGCTAACCAGCACACATATGAGTTTGACCATTAAAGCTGACAGCGGGCTGAATGTAACAGCATTTCCTAAAAACTGCACTGAAGTACAACTTTTACGAGATCCTTTTCTTCAGTATTTCCTATGTATGCTACTTTATACTTCTACTCTTGTACATCTTAGTGGGAAATAACATCCTTTTTTCTGCATTATATTTGTTGACAGCTTTAGTATGCCGATTAAGATTCTTATACAAAATATAAAACAACTATTAAATGATAATATGTTATTATAAATGAATCTACCCTGCACTATTGACGTAGCTACAACAATAAAGAGCACATGAATGCTTTAATAATAATACAGGAATATTATGTTATTCTGAAAATGGTATTCTGCATGTTGAGTATTTTTAGTGTTCCTACTTTGATGTTTTTATGTTGTACTTGTATCTGAACAACATTTTGAATGCAGGACTTCTACATGTATCATAGTATTGTTGCACTTCTAATCAAAGATCTGAGTACTTCTTCACGACTGAAACCTGATATCATCTGAGGATGCAAAGCAAAAACCATGAGAAGAAACGATTCACACCTTTTTGTTCCCACGCTTTCTGTACCAAAGCGTGTTAAAGACTTCAGCTCTAAGTGTCCAACAGAGGAAGTTAAACCAGCAGAGTTCAAACAGCGGCAGCAATGTGAGTATGTGAGGCTGATGTGTCAGTGTGCATACTGAGGAACCATAACACCAGATCAGGCTTAATAAGGTTAACACTGTGGGAGAATGAGAACAGAGAAAACAGAAGTGTCAGAAATAAAGAAACACCTAAATATGGAATCATATTTCAAGAATAAGTCAGACCCAATGTTATATTTTTCCTATTTTTAACACATCCAAAAAATGTGGCTCTCTGCTCCAACACATTTGCACCATTTATACTTACAAACGTGATATTTGCACTATTCATCTTGCACATAATGAACCACCAACACTATTCAATTAATGCTTAAATCATACAGTGTAACTATTTATAACATCTGTATAGTTTACCTAGAGCAGGGGTGTCAAACTCAAATACACAGTGGGCCAAAATGAAAAAAAATGGGTGCTCGTCGAGGGCCGGACTGGTTCAATTTGTACTGCAAAACTTATTGAAATGAACTTATTGCAAATATTAAACCTGGGACTAACAAAGCTTAAAGGTGGGGTAGGTAAGTTTGAGAAACCGGCTCGAGATACACTTTTTGTTATATTCCATGGAATGCTCTTAACATCCCGATAGCAATGAATATCTTAAGTGCTTTGACAACAAATCCATTAAAAAATGTCATCTGTGGAAGCCGTAGTACTGTAAAAAGCACGACCAATCATTTTAGCCAGCCCGGCTAAAATAACTGGATGGCCTACCTGCCTGTCAGCCTTCCATATGTGCACAAACTTATCTCGTGCCCTCATTGGTCATGTGCGCGTTCGTGTGTGTTGGAGGAGGGGCTCTGTAAGGAAGTGGCAGATTTCTTCCGTCTGTGTATTTTCAGATTCTAGCGCACTCGAGCTGGTTTCTCCAAAATTACCTACCCGACCTTTAAATGATTGCCTATAAAAACAAGATTAAACATTAAATAATCAGTTGCATTCATTTCTTATGGCTCTATCTGCAGCTTTTCCGGAGTCATTTCTTATGATTACATTTTTCCACAGGCCAACAACAGCTTCAAAAAAACTATTTCCGTCAAAGAAAAAACCAAACATGCCCTGTTGTCTCAAGAAAAAAAGTGCAGAAGTAAACATCCATTGAAACTCAGTTTGCTGCTCTGTGATGCTAGTTCAAGCCAGATACTTGGCATCTCATCTTGGGTGCAAGTTCATCAATGTTTGGGCTCAGGCTCTGAGCTGAGGAGATCCTCAGGATGGAGTGAAGGTGTGCGTGCAATATACCGGCGGGCCAGATCTAATAGTAATTAAACATTATCCTGCGGGCCGAAATTAAATCCACCACGGGCCTGATTTGGCCCCCGGGCCTTGAGTTTGACACATGTGACCTAGAGGATCAATTATGCTGTAGTACTTGGTGTACCTCAATGACAAAGGCCAGTGATTTTGGCCAGATTCTAGTGGGCTCAATGGAAAATGCGGAACTGGATTCACTAACAGGAAGTGGACTAAAGAAATTGACTAAAATGTATGCTTATATCTTAATGTATGTCAAATGTGAGTACATATGGCTTTGTTAAGCACTTGATATGTATATATACTACTATATACTACAACTATATGTTTTTGAGTGATTCCTTAGTCCATCAAATGGCAGAAAATGGTGAAAAAGTTTACAGTTTCCAGTTTCTGTATTTTAAATTACATTTACATGAATCAAACATCATTATATAGGAAAAGCTGGAACACGAAAATATAGTTCATATTTTTGCTAATTAAATGACTCAAAATCAAATGTATCGAGATGTATTTTCTGTTTTTTTTTTAGCTTGTGTTTAACCATCTGATTTATCCGTGCGCGTTTTCCCTCTTTTGTCCCACTTCGCTTTCCTTACTAACAAAGGAGAGGTGCACGCTGGGAAAACACGTGTAGTGGAGGACCAGAGAAGTATGGCTGCAGTTTTGTGATTATTGTTATTTTTAAACGATGTTTCAAACACATTTATTGTTTGAAACATCAAACAATAAATGTTTATTGAGCTGAGTACATACATGCTCAGTGTTGTGTGTATTTGTCAGCTGCTGTCTGGGTTTCCCGCCGTTACTGTTCATATTCAGTGTTTCGGACCTATTGTTTACATGTTGACTGAAACCGAACCACAGCGCAGGATTTCTGACATTTATCTCAGTTTTAACATTTCATTTTTAGATAGCAGAAGTCATAACTGCTCTATATTTCTCACAGTGAAAAGACTGGGTTTCTGTTGGTCATTACATGCTCACTTAGTGATCCAGTCACAGCTTCAGTAATACCCAATGACTATTTTAATCATTTTATGTGGTTTAAATACATTTACTTAAGTACTACACTTTAGTAATGTATGTGTTCTTTACTAGTGTTGCATGCATACTATTATATATGATGCTGATGTGGGTCATTCTACAAAACAAGTACTCTTACTTCAGTTATTTAAAGTATATTTGTATGCAGGATTTCACCTGTAACAAACCATTTTTACACTGTGGTATTGCTACTTTTATTTAGGTTAGTACAATTTAAAGCTGCAAAACATAGGTTTAAGAAACGTTGTCAGTTTTTCTGGAGTAACCTAAACAGTTAATTGATTGTCTCAATAATCTTCAGTACATTATCAGTCTGTAGAGGATAATCAATACTAGCTAGCTTGTGTTATAACAAGGTTTATAGAATCATACATACATATATTTTCAGTTCTTGAATCACTGTTGTCTAGCTTTCACCATTACCTATACCAAAATCAATACTTGTTCCCAATAACCTCTTCAGGATATGTGTATTGAAATCATTCTATCTATCATTCTTAATTATACGGCTTTTTAAACACATGCTTGTCTGTCTTCTGTTTGGTGCACTAAATACACACAATCTTCTGTAATAAAGACACTCATACACATGATATAAGACAGAAGCGTAGTGCTTGTTGTCCATGTGACTAATCCAACAATATGTCCTTTCTCTATTCGTCAGGTGACACGTACAGTTTGCCACCATGTCGCCCAATAAGAAGGGCGGCGATGAGCGTTTCCTCCGGGTTCAGAAAGACCCCAGATTTTGGGAGATGCCCGAGATAGAATGCAAGATCAAGATCGACAAGCCTTTCCAGTCCATGTTTCACGACAAGCGCTTCACGGAGAAATACACGGTGGACAAGAGAGGCCGACCCATCAACCAAACCTCCACCGAGGACCTGAAGCGCTTCTACAACGTCTCCAGCTCAGAGAACGAAGACGACGATGAGGAGGGTGTGAAGAGCAAGAAGGTGGCAGAGCGCAAGAAGAAGAAAAAAGTGAAGGTGGAGAAAGAAGTGAAGGAGAAGCTGGTGAAGGTGAAGGTGGAGAAAGAAGTGAAGCAGGTGAAGGTGGAGAAAGAAGTGAAGGAGAGCAAAGACATTACAGCTAAAGGACCGCCGCCTGAACGAGGGATCAGAGTCATAGAAGAGGGTGAGTAGATGTCTCTGAGGCTCATATTCACTGATGCAGGCTGAGGAAACGAGCACAGATTCAACTTAATAGATAAGAAGTAGGTTTACACATACAAGGAATTTGCCTTGGTGTATAAGGTGCATACAAAAAACAGGTAAAGAAGGGAAAAAGTAAGAAAAACAACCAAAAAACGATTAAAAAAAACGAACTATTATATGTTATGATATAGAAAATAATGTACATGTAATCTGGATATCCCAAAAAACTATGTACAGTATTCTATGACAACATACTCAGAATAATACAATAACATATGTGCAGTATTGATATGAAAAGGGGAAAGATGTGCAGATACTAAGAGAGGTAGCTCGTGTGCAAATGTGCATGTATTTCAATAGATTTGCTGCAGGAAACCAACAATAAAATAACTATAACATTGAAGCCAGAGCTTTAGACTGAAAGCCTGGTTAAAGGTAGGGAAGGTAATTCACTTCAGAAACACTTTTTGGTATATTCCATGGAATGCTCTTAACATCCCGATAACAATGAATACATTAAATGCTTTGACAATAAATACATAAAAAAATGTCATCTGTGGAAGCCGTGGCGCTAGGGCTGTGCAATTAATCGTATTTTAATCGCAATTACGATTTTGGCCTGCCACAATTACGAAAACAACATAATCGAAAAAAACGATTATTTTGCTTTGCTTGGTTGTGACCGTGCACTGCAACATATTTGATCTAATTTATTTTAGTCTAATTTATTTGTATTTATCATATTTACATATGTTTAGTAGCTTGTTGAAGTGCGCTCCAAAATATTTGTTGATCTTGTTTATTGGTATTTATTATTTTGATATTATTTATTTAAATGTAAATGTATCATTTATTTTATTTATTTTTTTATTGGTTTTTCAGTTGAATTATACGTTCAGGGTAGGGATGGGTATCGTTAAGGTTTTAACGGTACTACTACTTTTATCGATACCGCTTATCGGTCCGGTCTTTTAACGGTACTCTTATCGGTTCTTTTGGAGAGAAAAATTAGGTAAACTAACTATATGTTGTATGTCAGGGACTACGGATGGAAATTAGCTCAAAGCTAAAATCCGGCATATTTACACTTGAAGCATTATTTGTCTAAAGCAGTGGTTCTCAACTGGTGGGTCGCGGACCCGTTTCGAGTGGGTCGCGGATGTGTGAGTGAAGAAAAAAAAGTTGAAAAAAAAAATTGGAATTTTTTTTTTTTTTGGGGGGAAAAAGTCAAACTTTTATTTTGAAGGCCCGATTTTCTTCTCAGAGTGTACCAGAATGCGTAGTTTATGTTAGTATTTCTAAAAATCTCCTGGGGGAGAATCCCCCCAGACCCCCCTGCTGGGGTTGGGTTTCAGCATGTGTGCCTTTTTATATAGTTCAGCTTTGATTCCATCATCTCATTAAACCTTTTTTAAAAGCATACTTTAGTTCTGTGAAGGGATATAAGGGATATATGCACTGTACTTCACTTTTATTAATATTGTATGCTCAAAAGCGTATATATTACAGCACGATTTTTTGTTGAATAGATTTGAGTGCTTCAAAATGTTGGGTCGCGATGTATTGACCAAGTAAAAAGTGTGTCCCGAGGCCTAACCAGTTGAGAACCACTGGTCTAAAGTGTTCATTAATGTGCATTGTCCCTATTCAAATAAACAATTAAATGAAAATTAACAAATTGTGAACAAAACTAACATTGCTTTTTATTTTAAATGAAATCCATAATATTTCACATCAACAGAAACAACAACGTTTTAACAAATCATATTAAATAATCTGATGACAGAACTGTGAACAGAATGGCTGAAACTTTAACAAACTAAATAACTCAGTTCCCTCTAATCATTAACCCATGTTTGAATCATTGAGTTAGCTCCGTGTGTTGCTGCTAGCATACATAATATACCTGACGTGGAAACGTTACTCGTGGATGGGGCTACAGAGCTACTAGAGAGACAGTCGAACCCGGTGCATTTCTCCGTCTGAACGTGGTGCACTTTTGCAAGATGTTTAGACAAATTGCTCGTGTTACCGCCCTGACATGCTAAACTCTTATTGCACTTTAGGCAACGAGCGAGACGGGTAAAGTTTAACCACACCTCGGAGCGCGTTCTCTCCGCCATCTACTCCGTGTTCAGTTGCTGCATGTAGCAGCTGCGTGTGTGTAAACTGCCCCGCCCCCTCGCACACAGGCGGGGGAGAGAGATCTCTCGTCTGGATTGGAGAGATCGAAAATACAAAAAATGACGCATTTTGCAGTCTTTTTGCATATTAGAAACGGAGTTGGCGACACTAAAACTGCAATATAATGTTTGTGTAGCAATAATACACATGACATATTTTTTAGATGTCTCCAGTACCGATAAAAAGACCGATAACGTCGGAGCTTAACGGTACCGCGGTCTTTAATAATTCAGCCCCGGGGCCCGTTTAATACCGGGGCTCGGTACCCATCCCTAGTTCAGGGTAATCAACAGTTAAAAAGATACTGTTCAAATTATTATTTGTATTGTAAAGTTCAATAAATGGATGTTTTCAAAGTCAATGAATAATCGTATTTAATAATCGTGATATCAATTATTGACCAAAATAATCGTGATTATGATTTTTGCCATAATCGCACAGCCCTACGTGGCGCTGTAAAAAGCACGACCAATCATCTGAGCCGGCCCGGCTAAAATAACTGGACGGCCTACCTGCCTGTCAGCCTTCCATCTCGTGCACAAACTTCTCTCGTGCCCTCATAATGTTTTATTTGTGCATCAACATATTAGACATCAATAATAACATTATTGGGCCGCCGCCTGAACGAAGGGTCAGAGTCATAGAAGAGTAGATATTCACCCCTTCAGGCAGCGCAAAACAAGCACAGATACTATTAACCCTCTGAGACCCACATAGGACATTTCCGTTTTTGTATATGTTTGTGTTTTGCCTTATAAATTGTAATTTCTTTACAGTTTAATCAAGTGTTACACATCCCAGAAATCAGCACAACCTCAGCCAATGATATGTGTCACTCATTAGAGACGTATACACACTATAATAGGGGATATTTGCCCATAAATAACGGAGCTTGAATCTTTTACTTATTTAATTAAAAAGAACTGCAAATCCAAATATGGTCATTTCCTTTGTATCAGCAACCAATCGTGAAAGTACAAAGGGGTGTTAAACCAAAAATTGCTGCTGAGTCGTTTTCAGAGCGGATTTCGTAAAGGGCAGTCCACAATAGATGCATTAGTAAGAGTGAGTAATGATGTGGAAAAAACATTGAAAATGAAAGAGATAATGGCAATAGTGTACTTTGACATTGCAAAGGCGTATGACTCGTGTGCAGGGATGGATTACTGATCAAATTGAGTAGAATGGGTATTGGAGGGAGAATGTACAATTGGGTAAGGGCCTTTTTAACAGACAGGACATTTAGAGTAAAGGTTGGAGCAGATATTTCCAATTATTTAGAAATAGAAAATGGTATTCCCCAAGGGAGTGCAGTCAGTCAGATATTATTTAACATCATGATTAATGATATATTGACATGCTTAGACACATGCATCCAATCGGCTCTATACGCAGATGATGGGGCTATTTGGATGAGGGGAAGAAATGCCCCATACGTAATGGAGAATATAGCTAGAGCGATTAAAAAAGTGAAGAGGTGGTCATATAACTGGGGATTCAAAATGTCAGAAAGCAAGTCATGCTACATGGTATTTACAAATAAACGCAAGATTGATGGCCAACAGCTAACACTATGACCGTCCAATGACAAAGGTGAATGAGTTCAAATACCTAGGACTGTGGTTTGATAGCAAATACACATGGAAAATGCATATTAATCAAGTGGAAACAAAATGCAAAAAAGTATTAAATCTATTACGAGCTGTAGCTGGATGCAACTGGGGCGCAGACAAACAAGCATTAATAGACATATACAGATCAATTATGAGGTCCACAATAGACTATGGTTGTATAGTGTATGAAGCAGCAGCAAGAAGATCACTTTTATGATAGAATACAATATAAAGCATTGCGGCTGTGTATTGGAGCGATAAAGTCATCCCCTATCAATGCAGTTCTGATAGAAGCAGGAGAGACACCTCTGGAGATCAGAAGAGAGAAACTTGCTCTGTCATACTGGGTCAGGGTTCAAGGAAGTGGAGAGGAAAATATCACAAACAGAAAACTACAGGATTGCTGGGAATATGCAAAGTTCCAGGGGCGTGGGTTTGGCTGGACGAGTAAGGAGAGAACGAGGGCATGTGGATTGAAGACCATCACGTTTGCCAAAGCAAGCCCATTTAGCCGTGTTCCCCCATGGCTTTTCCCAGAAGCTAACATATGTGAGTATCGTAGAAAGGAAAAAAGAGTGGCAAATAAATGAAGTGGGAATTAAAACAAGTATGTACTTGAATGAAAAGTACTACAATTACCTCAAAATGTACACCGATGGTTCTAAGAACAAGGAAGAGTGTGTTGGAGTTGGTATACACATCCCAGACTTTAAAATATCGATCTCAAAAAGAGCGTCTGATCAACTATCAGTATACGCAACACAAATGCTGGCAGTAATAATAGGATTACAGTGGGTTGAAGAGGTCAGACCAGATAGGGTGGTGATATGCACAGATTCATTGTCCATATTAAAAAGCATACAGTCAACAACAACTGCCAGAGAAGACATTCTCATAGAACTTAACCACAGCCTGTCAAGACTTCACAGAGGCGGTATGGATCTGCAGTTCTGCTGGGTGCCTGCATGAGGGGGTGAAAGGGAACGAGTGTGCTGATAAATGAGCAAAAAGTGCACTACAAAAGGAAATAACATTACAGTTCAACTTGGAGAAGGAGAAGGAAAAGCAGTCATTAAGAAGAAAGGGATGGACATCTGGCAGAAAAGGTGGGAGAAAGACCAGAAAGGCAAAGAGTATCATAAAGTTCAAAAGACAATCACAATTACTATTTATAAAGAAAGAAACAGAAGGGAGGAAATCATGATAGCTAGACTCAGACTGGATCACACAGCATTGAATGGTACGCTGTATATCATGGGGAAAAGTGACAGTGCCAAGTGTAGGAGCTGTGGAGTTAAAGAACACGTGGAACATATCTTGTTACATTGGGTCATCTATAAAGCTGGAAGAGGAAAACTAAAGGATGACGTTTTAGAGGCAGAGAGGGAGAGGGAGTGTGGTTGGTATTCTGGGAACAGAAGGAGTAAGAGCTACCAGAAATACACTGTTTACCTTTCTGAGGGAAACTGGGGTAGGAAACATAATGTAACATTAGGTCAGGAAAGATCATAGATTTTTATTTTGTTTTGTTTTATTTATTTTATGTTTTTTGTTGATTTATTTATTTTTTGTTTAGATCATAGATAGATACGTCCATGAGAGATGGAATGATATGATGATTCAATCACACTCATGTACAGTAGGTGGCGGTATGCACCTTTAAAGTTCTTTGCAATCCGCCAAAAACCGAGAGAAGAAGAAGAAGAGGTGAGTGGATTAGACACCTGCAGAGGTTTCATTAAGTGTATTTACACCAGCTTAGTTTACAGTTAATCAGGAATCAGAAGTGTGAAGGACCAGGGTACGCAAAAATCAGGAATGCAGGTTGAGGTGCAAAAATAAGGATTTTATTTACCCAATATATGTACAGTTTTAAGATGGGTAATAAAATCAATTAGGTTTAAACAAAAAGGTGTAGATATAAACATACACAATCTAGCATTTAACGCATAAACAAAACGTCACAAAAATGGGTGACATCCTGTGTGCTCTTCTGCCCAAGAGCAGCTCACATACCCCCCCCCCCCCTCATCTCCACACTGCAGGAATGTATAGCTCTACTGGCCAGTCCATTGTTGCGTGCAAGGGGGACAGGCTCTAAAAAAAAAAAAGGGTGGCTTAAATGGAGTGGCCTCTTTAAACACCCCTCAGGGTTTGTGAGGAATGGCGTAGTCCAATTAGCTGACACATCTATGAAGGCAAGTGTTTTCCATCAGCGCAGCCTTTGGCCAGGAGCAAGGTGAGCTGTAAGACACTGACAATATGATTACACACAACACAATTAACAATAGATATTTTAAACAAGATTGTGTGCACTCAATCTAGCAAAAACAAAGCTGTTTCAAATCAATGTGTCTGTGTATGTCTGATGTAAACAAAAGCATAACCTTTAGGATGTGTGTTCGTTTGTGAGGCTTGTAGCCCTCACAATAAGTTATCTTATTTAACACAACAGCTGTAATCTTGGAAGAAACAAACTCACAAAAAAACTTAAAATGTGTGACAAAAATAGTCTCAAATTATCTTTAAATAAAGTCTAACAGCTATCGTCTAAAAGCTATTGGCTAACAGCTAAAGTCTAACAGCTACAGTTATTATTCTAGTTCGGCTCTGGGTGAGTAACAGTTTATTTGTAATGCTCAGCTGACTTTATGTTAGTTATTTATTACACCAGTTGTCTTTAAGACAGTTTGAGTTGTTGTGTTGGTGCTCTTTACCATGGTTTTAAATATATGCTAACTAGCTTATTAGCATCGCCACTCACCGTGACGTAGCATTTTTCCCATTGAAATGAATGGGGTTCTTCAGTTAGCAGCTAACGCTAAGCTAAGCGACAGTTTAGCTCATTAAAATATATAAATATACATACTTTATTTAAATAATGATTTATCTTAAACTGGGAAATGATTGTGTCACAGCAGAAGTGTTTTCAGGCATTACATGAGTTAAACATTTAAAAGATGCAATAAGATATAATAAAAATGAAGCATTAGCAGCAAGTTTACACACAGGACACATATGACTAGAGCAGCGGTTTTCAAAGTGTGAGGCGCGCCTCCCCTGGTGGGCGCCAGAGAGCTTCAGGGGAGGCGCAGCGTGAGGAAAAAAAGAACGAGAAAAAGATTAATAAAGTGACACTTGCCCACTTTTGGCTGTCTGTGGAGACCGAGTTCCCCCACCTCGCCAAAAAGGCTGTAACAGTGCTCATTCCCTTCACCTCCACCTACCTGTGTGAGTGGGGGTTTTCCGCATTGACTTTGATCAAAAGCAAGTACCGGTCAAGGCTGCAACCAGAGGATGATCTGCGTTTATTCCTGCGAGCATCAAAGACGCAGACTCATTGTTCCCACTAAAGTAGGGGTGAGTGTAATAAGGAGGCAAAGTTGACGTTCAGTGTGTTGCCGGGAGCATATAAGCATATATATATCCACGATGTTGAAAATGTTAAAAATGTTAAAAGAAAATATGTGTTGAGAACACCGTGCGAAAATATACGGGTCGTGCTGCAGCTAGATTTGCCTGTCCTCTGTAAGAAGGTGTCGGCGACTGACATGCAAGGAAGAACGGCTGTCCACAGGCTGTTCCAACTTTAACAACTTTATTAACTTCCAAGGTAGTGAATTGAACATGCAATTGTAATTGGGTGTGCGGTATATTTTCAGGCACGCACACGCATGTTCCACAACACACAAACTGAACAACACTCAATTGTCCGATCACTACCAGTGTCCTTGCGATCTTGTAAGAACAAGTGTACGTTACTGATGCAATATGGTTGAGACCAGTCGGGCTTATTCTAGAGGGGTGCAAGGAATAGTCCAAGTAGTGGGGGAGTTTTATACAATATGTTTAAAACATAAAGATACAAAGGTTTAAAAAAGTTATTGTTTAATGTTTTAAGGAGGGGACGCTACTCAGCCAATCAAATCGGTGCAGTCAGTGAGTCAGCACGATAGATTCAAACACACACAAGAGGAGAGAAACAGTCGGAGTAATTTCAAATGGCGAAAGGTAGACAGCGAAAACAGAGCATTTAATGACATTTAATGACATTTTCTCTTACTGGACCTCTTTGAAATGCAATTGAATACTCCTGCATTATAGCAACAACAACAATAATAATAATAATAATAATAATAATAATAGCAATAATAATTGGGAGGGGGGGGCGCGGCTGTTCTTATGTTCTCTGAGGGGAGGCTCACCTTCCCACACTTTGAAAACCCCTGGACTAGAGTATCTAAAGAATACACAATATACAGAAAATACTGTATACATGGGGTACATTAAACAGTCTCACTAGCTAAAGCTTGCTTTCTGTGTTAACTTAGTGATAGTTAATGACACAGATAGCGTTATAACCGTGGTTCAAACAACCATTAATGTCATTTTCTATGTGAATAAAGTCATTTTAATGAAATAAAAATGAACAAACTGTGAGCTGTAAATTAGAATGTAAGTTGCTACACAGATTATGAAGAATTATATCTAAATATTTGTATTATATTAATAATTTAATAATAATAACTTTTTGTCGTAATGGTTAAAGTCATTTGCATGTAACGTTAATAACTATCTGACCTTTCTATAATTTTCTCCTCTGCTTAGCATCACATTGACTAAATTGATCAATTTGGAACATGTTTACGTCACAGCAGCATATATAAGACAAGGCACTGCACATAATGTGATAAAACACTAAATATAAGCAATATAAGTGTGTGTCTTTTATTCTCATTCAGGTGGAGGAAATACCTTAATTACTTTCTCTAACATTATTTATCCCACAGTATACTCATAAGTTATATGCATACCGTTTAGTTTGAGTAAACGCTCCCTTTTTACCTTCAGCATATTGTTTTAGTACGGTAACTCTTCTTTATTACCGTTAGCATACTGGTTTCTGTTAGGTAACTCCTTTATGTTACAGGATGAATCCTCAGTTTATTGACTTGTTGTTTCTAGTCTCCTCCTGACTGACAGAGTCCTGGAGCTGTGAGTTTCTCCTCTTCAGTGAAGCAGCTTTATTACTGTCTCCTATTGTCGCAGACAAAGTAGCATTAAATGGAAATACTCAAGTAAAGTAAAAGTACCTCTAAATAGTACTTAAGTACAGTACTTGAGTAAATGTACTTAGTTACTTCTCACCTCTGCTATGAACCTACGAAGTAGCTGTAGATTAGTTTTGTTGTGTCTGTCCGTTGCATTGAGTTGTCTTGTTTTGTGTCAGCTGTAGTTGTGTTGATTATTTCAGAGACCCAGCCGGAGAAGGAGAGCAGCATGGAGGAGAACAAGGAGACCCCTGGAGCTCAGGTCAGTGTGCACTTCATCACAATATATTCCTAATTCCAGCGTTTCCGCCAGGCGGGCGTCTTGCCGTCATTTGACGAGAGTTTTTATCGCTTGAAATGACGAAAAGGACAAGGACATCCCTCTGTTGGAGGGGCAAAGGAGTCTGGTGGGATTATTTTCGCCGCCAGCAAAGCGTGTTCCTGTGACGGAAAGTGTACTGCCAGCGAGCCTTGACGGGGGGTGCTAGTGGAGCATGCGCGTGAACTGGCAAAACTGAGGCTCTGGTAAACTGTAGTAACATGAAGAGCCGTTTGGGAGCCGAAAGAGCCGGCTCTTCTTAGTGAGCCGAGCCAAATGATCCGACTCACTAAAAAGAGCCGAAATTCCCATCACTAATGCGTAAAGAGATAGTATCTATTAGGGACGGCTCAATTCAAAATTCAAGTCCAGGGTTTCCCACACATAGACTTTACTTGGGCCGCCCAGGTTTAACGGCCACCAAAGTATATTTCGCGACCCATTCATTATTATTTTGTTTGTATCCGTCCGCGAGCACGACGCCATCTGCAATCGATTTACTAGTGGACAATGATCCCTCGCTTGCTGTACCTGTTCGCTCTGCTATCGCGTGGAGGGTCTGCTAACAAGCGACCAACAGAAAGGTTCATGTTAATGTTGTTGCACCTCACAAATGCCTAACACTGTTATCCCCAAATGAAAGATCACAACCTGTTTGGAAATATACAATATGAATGCACAATATGGTTAGATATAGGTTAGAACGTTGTTGTATACGATACGATAATACTTTAATTGTCAAATCAAGTCTGAAATGTGACTTGCATCACAGCAGCTCCATGTGTAACATCAACATAGACAAATAAGACAAACACAATACATGAGAAATTCTCTCTGCAGACCCATTCTCACAGCGTTTATCAACCTTTTTCTTACTCAATATCAAGCCACACTTATTGTTTTTACTTCGGCTGTGACTTTGTGTGTGCTCAGGATGAGTTTGGCTGTGTATCGCTAACAAGGAAACGACACCTCCACGGCACAACGTCCCGACCAATCAGAGCACACTGTGCTCACAGGGAGGGTGGGGGCTGGAGCTATTGGAGCTACAACGAGCCGTTAAAGGCAGAGAGTGAAATTCAGTGAATACACGTAGTTTACAGAGATGCTGTATGAGAAACCAATGTGAGTTTGGAAAATTGCACAATATAAATCTATTCTAGTAGACCTCAACAATGGAATTATGATCAGTGGAAATGGCCATGACATGGGCCCTTTAATGTCCTTAGTCACATATGATTTATTACTTGGATAGATTTGTATTTCTTTAGTGGGAACACAGAAGTTAATATAGTCTTTGGTAACAGTAGTTTTTTAGTTTAGTTTAGTTTTTAGTTTATTTATTAATAGTGTCGTGGACAGTCCCCATCGATGAACTGTCACAAAAACAGTAAATGGAGCAGCTTTAGCCGACATGGCTAATTTCCAGCTGTTGTCCCCGGCCAGATGGTAATAGACAATTAGTATAGTAGTTATTTCATCTAGTGAACATTCCTGAAAAATGTCCCAATCTGTCCAATCAAAACAGGCTTTCAACTGTTCCCTACTTTAATTTGTCCATGTCCTTATTACTTTCTTTTCTGGTTGACTTCCCTTCAGTTTGGTCTTATACACTGGTATCATATTCACAACATTATGATCAGAGTTCAGTATTGGTGGTCTGTATTTAGACACATAGGCTACTTTATCATTAACAAAGCATTTGTCCAGGATATTGTCTTTCCTGCTGTGATCCCTAACATACTGCTGGAACCCAGGTAACACAGTCTCCAGGCGACATTGCTTCATGTCCCCGAGCACTATTGACGGTGCATCGGGGTGGCTGAGTTGCAGCTCGTGAACACAGTCAGCGATGGAGCCGGCCGCTGGGAGGCACGTAAACAACAAACAGTAAAATACACACAAATTCTCTAGGCCAGTGGTTCTCAACCTTTTTACACCAAGTACCACCTGAAAAATAGTTGGTTCTCCAATACCACCATATGACCAATGTTAAAATACAGTCCATGCACAGTTCATGCAGGACTCGGAGGCACATGTATTCATAATAACATTATTTGTTGTCAGCCACAGCTACATGTACAAAGGGTAGTCAATTCAATTCAATAATAGCTTTATTAGCATGACCATAGTTACATACAGTATTGCCAAAGCTCTGTATAGTTGCAACATCTATACAAAAATACACACAAATAAACAGTTATCAGGGTTCGTACGGGTGCTGGAAATCCTTGAAAATGCTTGAAATTGTACGAGGTGTTTTCAAGGTTTGAAAAGTGCTTGAATTTTGGGAATGGTGCTTGAATTTGGGATAAAGTGCTTGAAATTGTAAATGCTTTACTTCGATTTTTAGATTAAAAGAAAATAAAGAAGTCGGAGCGCGCTTAATTGCTTCGCTTTTACATAAAACAGCTCCGCTCCGGCCTTCCCGCGCTATGCGTGTGACCGGCAAGTGTTTTTGTTACGTGTGTGACCTGGGCATTCTGATGAGTGATAGATGACAGTATGCCAGGATGTTGCCGTTTCAACGAGCGTTGGCTAGCAGAAGACAAATACAAGCCATGGCTAAGACGAGGGTCAAGCCCAAGAGTAGCCTCCTGCAAAGTGTGCAAACATAACGATGCGAGAGTCTGCGCTGACGAGCCACACACCCCACGAAAGGTACGCCGTAGTAGAGCATTTTAGATTAACGTTGCATGCAAATTACATGACACTTTTCTCTGTGCGCGGTAAAACAAGCTCGCCAAAATGGCTTCACTAGTCTGGCAGTATTTTAAGTGTCCAAAAATGACAATAAAATAGCGGTATGCAATGTGTGTGAAGCAGAAATCCTGCAGCTCCACCCGCTGTGACGGACCGGTGAGCGGAGCAGAACACACATTAAGAGTTAGACCTAACACACGTAGCTATTTTATCTACCTCTGGAACAAGCTAAACTAGTTATAAATATATTTATTCTTCACTGTCGGGTCACTCATTACTGGATCAGTGAGCTGCAGGAGAGAGAGAGAGAGAGAGAGAGAGAGAGAGAGAGAGAGAGAGAGAGAGAGAGAGAGAGAGAGAGAGAGAGAGAGAGAGATTCGAGTAGAGAGAGTAGAGAGAGAGAGAGAGATAGAGAGAGAGAAGTCTAAGCAGAGAGTAGATCGAGTAGAGCTATAGAAGAGATATAGATCGCTCGAGCACTCTATCGAGCTTCTCTATCTCTCTCTCTCTCTCTCCCTCTCTCTGCTCTCTCGCTCTCTCTGCTCTCTCTCTCTCTCTCTCTCTCTCTCTCCTCTCTCTCTCTCTCTCTCTCTCTCTCTCTCTTCTCCTCGCTCTTCTCTCTCTCTCTCGCTCTCTCTCTCTCTCTCTCTCTCTCTCTCTCTCTCTCTCTCTCTCTCTCTCTCTCTCTTCTCGCTCTCTCTCTCTCTCTCTCTTCTCTCTCTCTCTCTCTCTCTCTCTCTCTCTCTCTCTCTCTCCTCTCTCTCTCTCTCCTCTCTTCTCTCTCTCTCTCTCTCTCTCTCTCTCTCGTCTCTCTCCTCTGCTCTCTCTCTTGCTTCTCTCTCTCTCTCTCCTCTCTCTCTCTCTCTCATCTCTTCTCTCTCTCGCTTCTCTCTCTCTCTCTTCTCTCTCTGCTGCTCTCTACTCTTCTTCTCTCTCCTCTATTCTCTCTCTCTTCCTCTCGCATCTCTCGCTCTCTCTCTGCTTATCTCTCTCTCTCTTTCTCGTCTCCTCCTCTCTGCTCGCTGCTCTCTACTCTCTGCCCTCCCCTCCCGCCCCCCCACCCATGGGTTATGTGGGATGGAATTGCTACCTTCCTTCTTTATCTGGGCTTGGGACTGGCAAAGTGACCCAAAGAGACACACTGGGTGTTTCTCAATCGCGAGTACGCTTGCTTGGTAGCACATGTCTGCCAAGCATCTTGCTTCAGAAGCGAGGCAAGAATACTTCCTGGCATTCCGAAAACGAAGAGTGGAACACGCTAGCAAGTGTGCAGGTGTGCGTCATATGAGAGGCCCCGCCTTACATTTTCCGCCACAGATTTGGGGAAATTGGTCCGTGCGCAAAGCATTGTGGGGATTTTAAGACCGCAGAGTCTACTCATGTGCAGCCTCGATATTTCTCCAAACGGAGTTCGCCGGGCTCGGTAGATTTCCAAGTATGCTGGAGATTGGAACAGTACTTCGGCGGCACTCGATGACGTAGTATGCTTGAAATAGTGGCTCTGAAGCAGCTTTACTCGAGATTGAGAAACACCCACTGCAAGCCAGGGCGAGATCAGCGATGGCTTTGCGCATGCACGATTAATATAGTCTGGACGCGTAGTGTGTCTCTCTTGGGTCACTTTGCCACCTCTCTGCTCGAGTGTAGCTGCTGCGCGAGGCTGCCTGTGAGTGCTTTGAGACGGCAGAGGGGCTCAGCACCCGCTGCTCGTTGAGGAAAGTAACTGCGTAACAATTACATGCTATCACGTCAGATTCTCCAAACACCAGAAAGTCTCCAATAACACCAGAAAATGTAGCTGAATTTGTCGCTAGTCGCTTTTGACAAAAAAGAAGAAGCCGGAGGGTTTGGAAAGTCCCCAAGTTGGCAACACTGAATGGAAGATCCCCATAGGCCCCGCCCACTCGATCGGATCGGCGATTGGTATAGGCCGATACTGATTCCGGCGATCGGCCCCAAAATGGGCGATCGGAGCATCCCTAATAATTATATATGATATGTTTTATAATGATTGATCATTAAAGTGTTATCAAAGCTGGTAAAGGTGCAGCTAGTTTGAATGACTTTGTATACTGCAGGGTAGCTTGTGAATTTACTCCAGGTGGAACTAAAGTCTGATTTAACACTTGATTATATTTCACATCATTGATCCACATCTGTAAAGTAACTAAAGGTATTAAATACATGTAGTGGAGTAAAAGTACACCATTTACCTCCGACTTATGTTTACTGCCAACCTAAAAGTACCTCAAAAATAGTAATCAATAATGTATTGAAAAGTTATTTGGCTGATTGTTTTATATTGGCTCAGCCAGGTTATATGGGATGCCCAGTCTACGTACAGATGGGTCACTCATTTTGAAATATTAAACTTCGTTTTCTTTTCTTTAATTTTTCATCCTCATGTAGAATGCTATTATGAAACACACATTTGGTTGTTTATAGCATAAAGAACATCTGATTTAATGTGAGGTAGGGAAATAATCATTTGAGTATGAGTCAGAGTTCCCGTTAGAATATTTTTTCGCCGGTCAAAATGTCCGTTAAAGTTGAAATCTTCCGGACAAAAGTAGAAAAGTGCCGGTCAAAGGTCTTCTTTGTTATTTATTGAGCTTTAAAACAAATTGACATGATTCGATATTAAACAAACTAATTATAGTAGATTAACTACATTATTCAAAAGTGTACAGTAATTTACAATAACACGGAGCGCTCTCTCCCTCTCCTGACAGCCCGCCAGTACCATGCAGCTCGTGGATCAGTAATGAGCAGTGTTGGGACTAATGCGTTACTGTAACGCAACTACCTTTTGCGGTAACTAATAACGTTACTAGTTACCTATTCCCATTCAGTAACGCCGTTATAGTTACTGTGATTTAAATGGGTGCGTTACTGCGTTACATTATGTGATCCAACTGAACCGAATCTCCCTGCGGATGTAACTTACAGGCGAATACAGTGATGTCCTCTCACAGTACCATGGAAAAGTGAAAGTGACCAGAGAGGAGTGATGATTGGTTAACGCGGGGTAACATTTCAGGGTAAGCCAATCAGAGACAGAGTTGGGCGGGTCTTGCCTTATGGCGAAAATACACAGACACACAAACACTTGCTAACACACACACATACACGGCAACGCCCACCACCAGCACACACACACACAATGGCAGATGCAAGTATCAGCGAGAGCAGCAGCGCATTTACAACTTGGAGATATAACCACTATTTTCAATTTGTGGGGATAAAGGACGCAAAAAATATTTTACGGTCAAATGTAAACTGTGTGCAGAACAGAAAGCATTGTCCACATCGAATAACAGCAATGCCAATCTCCTGAAGCACCTAACTAATGTACATGGGGCTATAAAACTAGTCTTACTGTGCCACAGAACAACACAAAAACTTGTATTTTTATTGTTATTATTTTTAAAGTAAAGTAACTTGTTACTAGTTACTTTTATAATTTAGTAACTAATAAAGTAACTAGTTACTTTTTTGAGAGCAATAACTATAACTATTACTAGTTACTTTTTTAAAGTAATTTGCCCAACACTGGTAATGAGTGACCCGACAGTAAAACTAAACATATCTATAACTAGTTTAGGTAGTTTGAGAGGTAATTAAAATAGCTACGTGTGATATTCTAACCTGAAGTGTGTGTTTTGTTCCGCTCACCGCTGCAGGTGATCATGCAGAGCTGCGTGTCGACTCGTCAGCAGCAGCTGATCTCTCTCCCGTCAGATTAGACTTCACTCGTGTTTATGTCCATATCGATCAGATCTAGCTAGTTCTAGCTAATGATATGACTACCTGCTTATTAAAAGACACCTAAACAATAAGCGTTGCTATGCAACCGGGTGAGGCCACAAAGTATAGCGCAGCAGCATTATGCATTTGTTTACATGCCCACCGGAACCCCGAGGCATTACCAACAGATCAACGCACAATCAAACCATACAGGACATCTCTTTCTCCACATTAAGTGTTAGACATTAGAATTGACTATTCTTGTCTGTCACATACTCTTCTTGTCTGTCACATAAGTGGCGCAACTGAAGCGGTATTGCGCTAAAGGGGAAATTATTTTGACCGGACATTTTGACTGGAGAGATTTAGATTTGCCGGTCTTCAGCATATTTTACCGGTCATAGTCCGGTAATTACCGGCTAACGGGAACTCTGGTATGAGTATATAAATATGTAATTTACAACAGCTGTAAGCTGCAAGCTTGAAAAGCTTGAAAATGCTTGAAAAGTGCTTGGATTTGACTTTGGAAAAGGTGTAAGAACACTGAGTTATAAACAAACTGCTTTATTAAAAAATAAAATATGATCTATATACATAAGATATATAAGATGTGAGAGCTGGTGTATCAGGTCAGTCCGATTCCCTGAAACTGTGGCAGGCAGAGACAAACTGTCCTGCAACAATGCAGCTCTCTTTATATTCCCCCAGGAGTTCTTTTTTCTTTTTCATTTTCATTTTTAAATATTTGAGGATGCTTATGGTTGAGTTTTGGGAAGAATTGTTTCCGTATAGCTTCAAAAGTTGGGCATTTTGTGAGGAAGTGCTGCTCTGTCTCCACAGCAGTTCCTCCTCACTGTTGGCATGATCGCTCCTCTTTTGGCAGCCATGTTTTCTTGTACCTGCCTGTTTCTATGGCCAGGCTGTGTCTCTCTCTCTCTCTCTCTCTCTCTCTCTCTCTCTCTCTCTCTCTCTCTCTCTCTCTCTCTCTCTCTCTCTCTCTCTCTCTCTCTCTCTCTCTCTCTCTCTCTCTCTCTCTCTCTGTCTCTGTCTCTGTCTCTGTCTCTGTCTCTGTCTCTGTCTCTGTCTGTCTCTCACCTGTCTCCCTCTGTCTCTCTGTCTCTGTAACTGCATGTTTCTATGGCCAGGCTGTGAGCACTTACGGCCCGTCCACACAGCAGCATTAAAAAAATCTTGGAGGTGGGCGTATCTGAAGCTTGGGGATTTTTTGCGAGCAAGTCACCAACAACCAATCACATGAATCTCCCGCCCCCGACATACGAAGCAAAAAAGTTTGAAGTAAACTGGATATAAACTCCCCAAACAGGCGAAAACCTACCTGTTCTGTCCTTGATGTGTGTTTTTGGTGTATATCTGTCGTGTATGTGTTTTCTTGGCTGTGTTTTGGCACCACCTTGTGGTGGTTGTTTGACACTGCTGCTTTCTAGTGGTTTATTCGATTCCTGTTGCTCCACGTGTAGCTTGGGTTGTTTCATGAACGGACGTCTGCTCTCCATGGGCTGTGCTTCGTATTTCCCGCTGGTTCACGCATCGTCTGTGAGTGTTATTGTCCGACAGACTGTGGCTTCATGGGAATATGTTGTATGTAAAATGTTTATGTTTGTAGGAATGCAGTGAGTATTCTTTGCGGCTAAGCTACTAGCGGCTAGGCTGATTAGCTTCTCAGTTTGTGCACCGTAGCTCATTGTGTGAAGTATTCTGTCTATTTAGCTCGTCAGTCGGGCAGTCAATAATAAACTGTTATGTCTGTATTATCTTTACAGTTTCACCAAGTAAAGAGACTTCAGTAAAACTGACAACTGTGCTGGAGTTTTCTTTCAAACGGTTTAACTGGATGGATAGCTAGCTCAGTGCTAGTGAGACCCTTACAGTGAAAAGACGGCATTACAGCCAGCTCCGGGGACGGAGACAGGCTTCCTACGGAGCGACACCAAGAGCTAAGTGGCTAACTCAGTGCATATGTACAGCCTTCACGCCAGCTTATCTCTTCATCCACGTTATTTAATTCACAACCCAGCCATTATGGAAGAAAATGACAACATGGATAAAATAAGTGTAAACGCACACTCTGTGCACACACGTGCGTCGCGCTCATCATCCAGCTCAAAGGCTAATTTAGCACTGGCTATGGCTATGGCAAGGGCTGAAGCAGCACAGGCTAGAACATCACACTCTAAATGGGAAATTGAGCTAAAAGTCGAGCAAGCACGCATTCAAGCTACTCTTGATGCATTAAAGGAAGAAAAGGAGAAAGATGCTGCCATAGCTGAAGTAACAATGTTGCAGGCTGGTTTACTAGAGCTTGATGTTGAAGAGGCCAGCAGAGGCTCTAATCCAGTGTCTCAACACTTTATGTACCAGCGCACCGCTGCTTATGTGAAAGAGCAAACCAGCAGAATAGGTGGATCGCCTAGCAAAATTAGTGACATTGTTGCCCCCATAGGCCCACACCTAAATGAACCATCACAACATAGTAAAGGAGAGGATGTTAAGCCTACACAGTCCTACTCACTTAAAGGCCTTGCTCAAACACAAGCTGCTGTTTCTACCCAAACTACGCCTCACCACACATTAAAGGCTCCTCGACCTGGTACACCAGCACCGCCGTGGACTCTCAATAAGCAGTCTCCATTCTCTGCTTATCAGCCTAACCAAGGTACGCCCTATGAAGCCAGTTACCACAACCCTCAAACAACTAACGATCTGGCTAAATATCTTGCCCGCAGTAACTTAGTGACATCAGGCCTCACAACATTCGACGATCAACCAATGAATTATTGGGCTTGGAAAACGTCCTTCCTAAGTGCTATTGCTGGTCTGGATCTGTCTGTTGGAGAAGAACTCGACCTGCTCTGCAAATATCTGGGAAAAGAGTCATCAGATCAGGTGAGGAGAATCAAGGCCGTCAACATCAGACACCCTGACGCTGGACTAATGATGGCCTGGGAGAGGCTTGAGGAAATATACGGCTCACCTGAGGTCATTGAACAGGCTCTCTTTGACAAGCTAGAAAGCTTCCCCAAACTGACCAACAAAGACCCAAAACGACTCAGAGAGTTAGCAGACCTGCTGTTAGAGCTTGAGGCTGCTAAGAGAGATGGCTCCCTCCCAGGTCTGTCATATTTGGATACTTCCAGAGGGGTTAAGCCCATCATCGAAAAACTCCCATACAACATCCAAGAAAAGTGGATATCTTATGGTTCAAGATACAAACGTGATCATCAAGACAGTTTCCCACCTTTCTCTGTCTTTGCAGACTTTGTTCGTACAGAGGCAAAAGCTCGTAATGATCCCAGCTTCAACCTCTCCACGACAGTTCCTATGGAGAAAAAGAGTACGTGGGAGAAATTCACGAAGATGCCTGTATCTGTTCACAAGACACAAGTGTCGTCTGCTGACAGATATGAAAGCAGAGAGGATAAGAAGCTAACAGACCCAAACAACCATTGTCCTCTACATAAGAAACCACACCCTCTGAAGAAATGCAGAAGCTTTAGAGAAAAGAGTCTAGAGGAACGCAAACAGCTCTTAAAGGAACATTCCTTCTGCTTCCGGTGCTGCTCCTCTACTGGTCATCTCGCCAGAAACTGCACGGCTGAGGTGAGATGTATAGAATGTGGGAGCACGGGTCACGTGTCAGCATTACACCCAGGACCAGCAGTCTGGAAACCTAAGCCCTCTCCTCCCTCTTCAGAGCACGGCGGGGAGGAAGACAAAGAAGACCATCAGGTCACATCAAGGTGCACACAAGTGTGTGGTGAAGGTGTTAGCGCACGAGCATGCTCAAAAATATGCCTTGTAAGTGTGTATCCAGCTGGTCGCTCGGAAGAGGCCAAGAAAATGTATGCAATACTGGACGAGCAGAGTAATTGTTCCTTGGCACGCTCTGAGTTCTTCAATGTTTTCAAAATCACAGGGCCTTCCTTCCCTTACACACTGAAAACATGCGCTGGACTAACTCAGACAACAGGGAGAAGAGCTAGTGGGTTCACAGTGGAATCAGCAGACAAAAAGTTAAGCTTTCCTTTGCCTACACTTTTAGAGTGCAACCAAGTTCCCAACAACCGCTCCGAAGTCCCTACGCCAAATGCAGCTCATCACCATGCTCACCTGAAGTGCATCGCCGACGAAATACCACCTCTCGATCCTAACGCTGACATACTCCTCTTGCTGGGCAGAGACATTCTCAGGGTCCACAAGGTCCGTGAGCAGATAAGTGGTCCAGACAACACACCGTTCGCCCAAAGGCTGGACCTGGGATGGGTTGTCGTTGGTGACGTGTGTCTAGCAGGTGCTCACAAACCACTAGAGGTGAACAGTTACAAGACGTCTATCTTGGAGAATGGTCGTACTAGCCATCTGCAGCCATGCAACAACCAAATCAAGATAAGAGAAATCTTCAATCAAGCCCCTGACTACACACATCATCCAGCACTGACCTCTAAGTTCAGCACAGCAACACATGATGCAGACAGTCTGGGTCAAACCATCTTCACGCGAACTGCCAACGACCACAAACTAGCCCCATCCGTAGAAGATATGAAGTTTCTTAAGATCATGGAAGCAGAGTTTCATCAAGACAGCTCGAAGAGCTGGGTGGGACCACTACCTTTCCGGTTACCAAGACAGAGGCTGCCTAACAATAGGAAACAAGCACAAGATCGTTTTGCCTCATTGAGACGCACGCTGGAAAAACGGCCACAGATGAAAGCCCACTTTCTAGAGTTCACAGCAAAACAAATACGGTCTGACTGCGGCACTAACTTCGTTGGCGCTTCTCGAGAGTTGCAAATGAAGACTACAGATCCCAGTGGCAACAACGTGGAGAAGTACCTGAGCACGCAGAACTGCACATGGGTGTTCAACCGGCCACATGCGTCCCACATGGGTGGGGCATGGGAACGGATGATTGGCATCGCTCGTCGCATTCTTGACTATCTGCTGCTTGAACAGAAGAAGTCTTCTTTGACGCATGAAGTTCTGCTTACGCTCATGGCTGAGGTGACAGCAGTCATCAATGCTAGACCTCTCATTCCAGTATCTTCAGATCCAGAGTCACCTCTTATCCTCACCCCAGCAATGCTCTTGACCCTCAAAACAGGCTCTACACCACCTCCTCCAGGTAACTTTGAAGAGGCAGACCTCTTTAAAGAGCAGTGGAAGCAAGTTCAGAGCCTGGCGGACACCTTTTGGAGTAGGTGGAGAAAAGAATATCTCAAGACTCGTCACAAGTGGCGGTCTAAGAGGTCCCTGAACTTAAGCAGAGGGCGTCCGAAAAAATAAATAATTCGAGAGAAGATCGAGAGTTTCTATCGCTTAAAATGACTATAGGGAAAAAGGACAAGGACATCCCTCTGTTGGAGGGGCAAAGGAGTCTGGTGGGATTATTTTCGGAGTATTGAAGATCTTTTCCCCGACATCGGCGGTGCCTGCCACAGGACAACACGGTGCCTGCCACAGGACAACACGGAACGTGCGCGATTTGGACGCGATGAGCGCGGAGCTCGCGCGTGAACTGAGGCTCCGTGATAAACTGTGGTAAAATGACTAAAAAGAGCCGGAATTCCCATCACTAACGTAAAGAGATAGTATCTAACAATACCCCCCATGTTTCTAAGCGGCTCCCGAGGGATGTCATCCAATAACGAAGAGCACAGATGGCTTGGTGTATTCGTAGGAGGCCGATCGCATTGTAGCTCTAGCATAGCCTCGCGGCTGTAGCAGCGTAGAGGCCGGGGCTCCTCGCCATACCTGTTCGTGCTGTCACTCAGGTGTGTCTTGGAAAGTTGTATGGCCAGGCATGGTCTGCAGAAGGTAAATGTAATCCACAGGATCAAAAGCATGGTCTCTCAAAATGACGTTTCATAAAGACACGACAAAGTTTAGACAATACTTAGACCAAAAAAAACACAAGACGAACGGAGCATACTGAGACTCGCGGTGACAGGATGCCGTCTCCCTCTGTCTCCTGTATACCAGAGGTGGAAGTCATACATGTGCAAGTCCCAAGTTACTGGGGTGTGTGTGTGGGGGGGAGGTTTTCCTTCTATAAAACAGCTGCGGGCAGCAGATACTGTGAGTCGCAGACATGAATACATAGGTCAAGGCAGACTGGTTCACAGACTCTCCTGTTTTGCCGATCCGGTGCTTGAACAAATAACTCTACACCCCTACACAAGTCAAGTCTTTTTATCAATGTTAGTCAAGCAAGTCTCAAGTCAAAAAATATGCAAGTCAAGTCATGTGACTCGAGTCCCCCACCTCTGGTATATACTGTGGTTAGAATGTTGCTGTATCAAATATAATACAAATATAATAAACCCAAACAGTTGATAAGTAGTATTTTGTTAACTCAAGGTTTATACTAAGTGAGTTTTTATTGTTAACTTGTGTATTCATGCTTTTTAGATCAACTTTCTCTCTTTCTCTGTCCGTCTGTTCTAGAAACCGAAAGGAAGAGAGAGACGTCACAGCTGTCAGCAATGTGACAAATCGTTTACAACATCTGTACATTTAAAGCGCCACCTGCATATTCATACTGGAGAAAAAACGTACAGCTGTGAAGAGTGTGGGACAACTTTCACTAGATCAGATGCTCTCAAAATACATCAACGTATTCACACGGGAGAAAAAACGTACAGCTGTGAAGAGTGTGGGACAACTTTCACTAGATCAGGTCATCTCAAAATACATCACCGTATTCACACTGGAGAAAAACCGTACAGCTGTGAAGAGTGTGGGACAACTTTCACTACATCAGGTTCTCTCAAAATACATCACCGTATTCATACTGGAGAAAAACCGTACAGCTGTGAAGAGTGTGGGACAACTTTCACTCAATCAAGTCATCTCAAAAAACATCAACGTATTCACACGGGAGAAAAACCGTACAGCTGTGAAGAGTGTGGGACAACTTTCACTACATCAGATTCTGTCAAAACACATCAACGTATTCACACGGGAGAAAAACCGTACAGCTGTGAAGAGTGTGGGACAACTTTCACTACATCAGGTCATCTCAAAATACATCACCGTATTCATACTGGAGAAAAACCGTACAGCTGTGAAGAGTGTGGGAAAACGTTCACTACATCAAGTGATCTCAAAATACATCAACGTATTCATACTGGAGAAAAACCGTACTGGTGTGAAGAGTGTGGGAAAACGTTCACTACATCAAGTAATCTCAAAATACATCACCGTATTCATACTGGAGAAAAACCGTACAGCTGTGAAGAGTGTGGGAAAACGTTCACTTCATCAAGTAATCTCAAAATACATCACCGTATTCACACGGGAGAAAAACCGTACTGGTGTGAAGAGTGTGGGAAAACGTTCACTACATCAAGTCATCTCAAAAAACATCTTCGTGTTCACAAAGGAGAAAAACCATAGTGGTTTTAAGAGTGTGGGAAAACTATGAGAGCCAAGCTAGCTGTGTCCTCCTCCTGATGTCCTGAGAGCTGTAGTTATATAGTCTCATTGAAATAAAGCTTATTTCATTCAAATGTGTCTTTTCTTCAGTGAGATATCTTTATGGATTTCCTTATGACTTGAGTCTGATTTTAAAAGTGGTTTAATATTTCTGAGTCTGACTCAAGCAACTTAAATGTTTGCTTTTGGGCAAAGTCATCTGAACATTGTGTACTGTGCAAGTAATGTGGCACTCTACCTTTGTCCCTATATTTAGATAAACAAATTAATCCCCATTATTGCATTTAATAATTCATATTTCACGACACACTGTTACTGTAGCACTGACCACTTTATTGTATAAAGTGCATTCAATTGAAAACACCATAGTGTTACAGTTAAATTATGTACAATTATAAATACAATGATGTACATAAAAGTATTTACATATAATAAATAGATAATTAACGCCTACAATATCAGAGAAATTAGAATGTAACAATTGCACTGATGGCTCTGTGTGTTTTTTGTCACCAATATTATATTTTAGTTTGCACTGCCTCCACGGCTATGGTTATGGCATGATAAATGTAAAGCGTCTTTGGGTTCGAGAAAAGCGCTATAAAAATCCAATTTATTATTATCATGATAAGGACTGCTCTGTATTCCTAAAGTTTGACCTTTCTGGCAAAATATTAAATTGATTCAGTATAAATGATGGCAACAGCATAAACTAAGGTGAACACAGGTAAAAAAGCTCAAGTGGATACAAATCAGATCCATGAAACACATTAACTTTTGTAGATCCCAGGATTTATTTTTCATCAGCAGGTATGAATCAAATGTTAGGGTATCAATGACTTCTTGTAAACTAACATTTGTTGTTATGCAAGTCAACAACAACAACGAGATCTCACTCCACTGCAGAAGAAGAACAGGAATGATCCAGCTATTGAACCCAGTTGGATTCTTTAGGACTTTTTCAGGTTCAAACCCCACTGCAGTCAGCATGTCGTTGTGTCCCTGGGCAAGACACTTCACCCCACAGTATTGAGTATGTAAGTCGCTTTGGATGAAAGCGTCTAAGAAGTAACATGTAATGTAATGTACATACAAGTATTTACACTTTTTACATTAAACAGCTAGTCCAAAATGCTGCTGCACGTTTGCTGACTGGCCACAAAAAGCGCGACCACATCACCCCTATTCTGGCCTCACTGCACTGGCTTCCAGTTCGGTTCAGAATTGATTTTAAAATCCTTTTATTTGTTTTTAAAGCACTAAATGGGCTGGCTCCGGCCTATATAGCTGAACTGCTCCAGCGCTACACCCCAGCCAGAGCTTTAAGGTCTGCTGACCAGCTGCTGCTGGTAGTGCCCAAGACCAGGCTTAAAACCAGAGGGCACCGAGCCTTCGCAGCAGCTGGCCCTAGGCTCTGGAACACTCTGCCCCTCCATGTGAGGTCGGCCCAGACCCTAGGGTTTTTTAAATCAAAACTAAAAACACACTTCTTCTCTCTGGCTTTCTAGTTAGAGCGGAGCACGACTCCTGACTTTTCCGTGTGTTTTATTTTTATTTTGTTTTTAAGATATATCTGTTGTAATTTATTGTCGTTTATTGTGATTTGTAGTAATGTGTTTTTATTACATGTACAGCACTTTGGCTCGACCAAAAATCGCTTTTAAATGTGCTATATAAATAAAACCTGATTTGATTACATTAATGACGTACATATGAATGAAAACTATTTGCAATATACATCAAATATAAAAGTCGACATGAAAAATAAACTTCACCCCAAATTGCTCCTGTGGGGATTGCCCACAGTATTGAGTATGTAAGTCGCTTTGGATAAAAGCGTCTAAGTAACATGTAATGTAATGTACATACAACTATTTACATTAATGACGTGCATATATTTACAATATACATAATAAATATAAAACAACATGAAAAATAAAAATGATAACACAGCAAGTTGAAAAACATTTAAATACTATTTACAATATTTACATAGCAACAGGTCATTGCTCCAACGCGTCAACAACAGCTGTAAAATGTTGGTAACTGTTGTAGACTGTGTTCTCCAGACCCTTTGATGAAGACATCCTCTTCACAGGGCAGAAGACTTTGCGCCTGTACTTTTTGGCCACAGCACGTGCACGACGGCAGCTTTTGAACCCGGGACACTTTGGCTCCTACTCCCGAGGGCTCGTCCATCCCCTTGCGCTTGTAAAGCGTAGACCTTGCCCAGGATGAGGGAATGCAATCGAGAGTAGTGGGGACAGACACATCAGCAGACGGGGTTGCCATGAACGGCAGGCAGTAAGGGCATTGAGGAGGGGCCAGCAATGGCTGGGGTTGGCTGACTGGCAGGCAGGATGGGGCCAGGGAAAAGGGAGGGCACAGGTCTGGCGATGGTACTGGTGGCAGGCAGTATGGGACGTCCAGCAATGGCAGGCACGATGGGCCTCGTGGAAGGGCCAGCAATCGCCCGGGTTGCTGCGGATGGAGAGGGGGAGGGCAAAGGGCTGGGGTTGGTGGCCGTGGCAGTGACACAGGTGGCAGTGATGTCTGAGGTTGTGAGACAGCCATGATCATGTCCCTCCTTCCCTTCAATGACTGGGTTCCTGCCGTGCTGGGTGTCGGTACATACTGCATCAGCGGGTAGTCTGGTGGAGGGAGGAGTGCTGGCTGGTGTGGCGCTGGAGGCAAGTGGGCAGAGGAAACGGAAGTCGTCTTTGAGAGCATCGCTGGCTGGTTGGTCGCACGCAGGTTGAGGAGGCGTTCTTGAGCGCGGATAAAGTCACGCACCGTCTTAATGTTTATCTTTGGCAGCGGAAAGCCTGCTTTAGACAAGACGGGATCGTCCACCAAAACCCGGTGCTGGATCCTCTCGTACGCCTTCAAGATACTGGTCTTCTCAGGGCTTGTGCGAGAACCCTGTGGTGACTTCAACCACAGCAGTTTCACCAGCGTGTACATAAGCCTGTTGTTCATTGCACTAATGTGCTGGTGCGTAGCGAATGCCCATCTTCACGCGCTGTATCACAGCAGCATCGACAAGGTTGTGCCGTTTAGTGCGGCAGTACCGGGTGTTGCCCCAGTGCGTTCTGTACAGCTGGTTGAACTTCTGCTGCTGTTTGTCGTGGTCCTCCACTGCATTCCAGGCAGTCAGGATCGCGTTCCTCTGCACGGTGCATTTTTTTTTTAATCGGCCCTCACTCAGTCAATTAAAAAAGTATAATGACTTAAAGGGGACCTATCAAATGCACTTTTGTACATCTTTTATACATGAATATGTGTCCCCGGTGTGTCAGGGAACTCACCAAGTGTCAGAAAACACAACCCTCTCTCTTTTCCTCCATACCCAAATCTCTAAAAACGGGGCTGCAACGGATCTGATAAAGACTGATACAGATTTGAAATTGTTCTGACGTCAGAAACAGGGAGCTCCGCCTATATGGCCAACTCTCCACCTATCAGGGGAATGAGAGGTTGCCGTGGCATGGTAACAGCATGGTAACATGACGCTCGTGCCACGCCCCCCTCCTTTGCAGGGGGGCGTGGTCAGCTGCAGCTCATGCAAAGACAGGGCTGGAGGAGAGCAAAATAGAGCAAAATGAGGCATGGCTAAAATGCATGATCTGTTTGGTATTTTGAAAAAAAAACTTCACAGACATGTTTTATATAGGTATGGCCCTACAATATATTATTCAAATATAGCATGATAGGTCCACTTTAAGTATAATAAACTTCTGCTTGTCTTATATTGTACTTCTTAAATATATATGTTCAAATATATTACACAGTATTCATGTGCTAATGAGCCCAATTTTCAATTAAATTCAGTCAATTAAAGTTGAAAACATCTTCTTGCAAATCTTATGTTGATAAGAAAAAAGCCCAATAACAAATGTACATAACAACCTTGAAATATACCCTTCATATTTTCTCTTATCATAATCAATCTGAAGCTTCTGATTTAAGGAATGAGCTGCCAACACAATAAATGAAACCCTCTGCAGAGTGTTGTATTTTTCTGTAAAAAGTCCCCTCTAAGTTTGTTAGAAAACACAGCGGTTTCTGAGGGTGTTTTTCACACGGCAGGAGATGAGTGATGACCAGCTTCTATGTTCCTCTATCTCATAAACAGGTGGGAAATATAACCAGCAGAATGTACTGGTCATAATAAGTGTGGTTTATTCACTGACATTTCCTGTGTGAAGTGGAAGTTGGGTGAGGTGATACACACACTCCTCCCTGCTGCCTCCTCCAGCTGCTGGCCTGTTCACACATCTGTACTTGACTCCCTCCCAGGCTGATGCTCACTGTCTTGAATCTCCTCGTAGATCTGCTCAGGTTCAGCTTCGTCATCGTTGGGGGTTCTCTTTTCTCTGTTTTTGAAGAAGTGTCTGAGGGTTATGATCCCCAGAAGCCAAAGCAGCCACAACAGCTACTCGTACGCGTATTTGCCAAAAGTCAGATGGTCGTTGGTTCTCTGGTTCTGCAGTGGTTCCCTCCTGTCCTGAGTCAACACCCTGTCCCTTGTTTCTCTGTGTGACTGGTTTGAATCCAGCTTCAGGATCCACCATGTTGAGATCCTTCATTACTTCCAGATATATCCGGTAGTTATTACACAAATACATTCTTTCAAGATCGGTCGTAACATTTTCTATCACCAGTGAATTATCTGATCTGAAAGCAAAGCGCTTGTCAATGATGTTCACTTTGCCATTTTCTATAGTGACAAGAGGCAGAGTTTTACCATTACCATCCTTATACAAACTCCATTTTACATCTCCTTTCTTATGAGGACAGGGCAGTGTAGCCTTCATGCCCGGCAGCGCTGCTATTTTTTCAGGAACAGCTGAAAAGCAAAAAGCAGAAAGAAGTTACACATGTATGGACCCAACAGCCTTGACAAGCTGGACAATTGATTTGCTCATGGTGGTTTT